TTTTTTCGGGGGGTTTATTTCATTTGCGTGTACTCCATTCAATTTAATTTGATAATAATAAGCTGATTAATATAACTAAACAGTTATAATATAGTCTTAAGTATTTTAGTTTGAGATTCGTTCAGTAAAAAACTCATAATAACACAAATCGTGTGCATGTCATACTTAATCGAATACTAAAATCAAAAACGTTTTATCAAACTCATAATATTTATCTTTACACGTGAATTTTGAAGTGATTTTTATCTTAAATTTTTCAATGAGAGGACAATTTAAAACAAAAAGTTTTCATACTTTTGGATCTTTGAGATTATAAAATGATTAGTATAATACTTATTAATTGAAAATTAAAAAAATAATTACAATTTTCTTGAATTATTTAAGTATAATTTGTACGAGGAATAATACAAAAATATTGGTTTGAACATTATTTAGCGATATTATTTGTTCTTTTTATTTTTTATTGTTTCTGTTTAAGTTGAAATACATTAATATAAGCATTGGAATATTAAATGTTGATGAAATTGTATATTTTATTAATAAATATTTATATGGATTTCGATTAAACTATATCAGTTATTTTTTTTTTTTTTGTTTAAAAATATTAACAATCAGGATTTGAAATATAAACTGGTTACTTAAGTATAATTAATTTTGAATTACATATGATAATAATAACTGTAACTGTTAATATGAAATCAAAGTCCATGTTAGTTTATACTTAAACGCAATTGCTTTTCGGAAAACTTGTTTTAAACGACTTGATTATGAAAATATTGGGTATTTATAAAATTAAAATAGTATAGATAAGATACATACTATCTATACATATAAGGCAATAGACATACAAGACAAATAAGGCAAATCCACTCGTCCTCCTTCGCCCAGAACCGTTTTTTGTAACCAATGATATACATCGATTTACAAATTATAAGAAAAATTTACCCATTCTTATATCTTACACGACCCCTGGAAATCGCCATTTTTTTTATTTTTAATTAATTTTAACAATATGTCACGTAGTAAAACTGGGCGATTTAGAAGAAAAATAAAACTATAAGTGTCAATGGAGTATAACCGTAGGTACGCATAAGCTGTGCGTGATTACATCGAGGTTACGACTGAATTGTAGCATAAAAACCACGCGCTAGAGCAGATATGGTCCAAGAATAGTTTTACTTGAAAAATAATAAAAAAGTTTTCACCGGGACTAAAAAATGTTTACAGACGGCGGAGGGGAAAAGTTAAAGGAAATGTTCAACAACGTAGGAGAATATTAAAAAATATATTATCGAACGCGTCGATAAGATTTCTTTCCATAAATATAAAAACTTTTTAACACTTGAAGTTTATTTTTATTACCATACCGTACGGGAGAATATTGCAGCTATCGGAATCATTTTTTTTTTATCTCTTACTCCATGATGGATGTATTATATTCCGGGAATAGTTTGTGTTAGACATTATAATACATTTGCATAAATTGAAAAGAATAATATAATCCATTATCATCTACGTCTACGTGGAGTAAATTTATGCGTGGCTGAGATTTGTATAGGAAGAACCCGTGTTTATTGTTATCAATATTAATGTATTCCTGAATGAAATCGAATTGCAATGTCTCAGAGAGAGAGAGAGAGAGAGTGAGAGAGTGATCGAGGGACGTATTTGATTTACACGTCGAATGGATGTTATGAGCGATTCGACGTACATTTATATGCGTTTCGTGGCGAAGTGTAAATATGACTTAACGTTGAAACGATAAAATTAGACATCCCATAATCGAACCGTTACGACGGGCTAAAACAATATAAACAAATCAAAAACGTAGTCGGCGAAATGCTGGCACCAAATATTAACGTAATTTCGTCTTGTTGGCATTGTATTCGCCTGAAAGCAACGGTATGTTACGTTGTCACATTGAAAACGGTTCTGAAGGAAGTGACGAATTGACGGCAAATCATTATTGCAACAGTATTATAGTGTGACGTATAACGTTTGCGTTGCGACGATACATTAAAACATTTGAAATTCGTTTTGAAAATTCTAGCGGAAATTCCGTTTCACGTGCGTTCGCAGTATTTTATCCAGTAAACTATTTCCAATTAAATAAAAAATACATTTTTTATTTTTATTTAAAAACAAACACTAAGAGTCGCTCGATTAAATGTTCACGCATTTCCCTACGTTATCGGTGACCATTTCGGATTTAACACATCATAATTAAACGTACACGGTATGGGCTGTACGCAGATTAGCACGTGCACAAACGTAAACTATTTTTTCCGTACATAATTTTTCGAGTTGGGAGAGGGACGGAGTTCCCGATAGCGAAAATTCGATTTTGTTGACCGCAAAACGGGAAACCGTTCGCAATGATGAATCCTGTACACGACCATGATGTACGCAGAGGGCTAGAGGTTCTCCAAACGATTGTTGTTCGAGATTAGACTCAAGATTTACGATGGCGAAGACATCAGGACCACGGATGTCGCGAAACGCACACGCGCTGCGAACCGTAATGATAATCACCCCTGAACGGTGGCAGTACGATCGGCCGTATGGGCTGTTTGAAAAACGATTTTACCCCGGCCAAACGTGCACCCCCTAACCCGTGGGCAAGGCATTTCGTAGCACCACCGTTGCCACGCAGTAAACGATGGGGTGGGTACATTAAATCGTCGAGTGCGATTGACAGGCACATCTGCGATGTCAGGTTTTCAAGATTATTTACGCACCGATGTCCTTCCGACGCGTAGATGTGCGTGAACCGCAGGATACTCGTATAGAATACGGGGGTGTCATTGCGATAACAACTATATTACAGTACGGTGAACGGATTATGCCCTTGTTTTGGGTTCACTGATATTTTTTCACTGCTCGATGTTTGATGTACACATATGTTGCTTTTGCATTCAGTTACTGGTGTGATTACATAAATATACTTACTGGCGTGCGCACCATAACCATATTCGTTATTGCAATTTATATTTATAGTAACGCATATAAAAATTAAAACCAATTCACATGAATACGATTTTACCATTTATTGTAAAATGTTTTTATTACGATATTTTCGTTTTGGAGTGTATCTTTGCAGTTGTGAAATGTTGATGGAAAATTCTACGTTTAATCATAAAATTTACGATTCAATATTTTTGAGTTTATGAATATAAAACGTTATAAAATAAAAATTATTCAACTTTAAAATGTAATAAAAACACCAATACTATTGGATCTAGAATGTGGTAAATTTTTTTTAATAATTCAAAATAACCCGACTACTCGGGTTAATAATACTCAACGAGGACAAATGTGAACAGTTGTTAAAAGGAAATATTTGAAGATTCCTCTCCTTCTCAATAGTTATATTAACCGCCATGCAAGAATAGAACGAAAAAATACTGAAATAATCTATTTCTATCTTTATTATCTACCTAAGCGTTATGTTACAATATTTTCATCCAAGAATGCAATTTTGCACATTCATTATTACGTCTCAAGGGATTTTAATGGAAAAACAATAATAATTTTACCCAAACGGTATAACAGATATCAATTTTAATGATATATTTGAAATTAAAGTATAGTGAATGAGTGTTGCATTAATCGAAATTTATTTTGGAAACCCAACAGCAGGGAACTCTGAGATGGCGAGGCAGAGATATTTTACTAGATAGGGCTACAAATTGTAAGGTTTAGCGTTGCAAAAATGACAATTTCTTAACTATAAATAAAAAAAATATAATATGAGATACGAATTTAGGTTATGATGTAATAATATATCACAGTACCCACTTAGTATCTCTATTATTCTAATATAATCTATTAGTATTTTTATGTTTATACGGTGAACGATTACATTTTTTTTCTACTTATTAAAAATGACCAAATTATTAGGTTTATCCTGTGGTAGGGCCAGTGGTAGGGCATGACATTTTCTAATCAATGCCATCCTTGGTACCGCTACTGGAACCTCTTGCACACAGATGGGGTGTTTCACCGCCCCCTACCACCACTCCAGGTCACGACCATGTGCATCTAGCTCTCACGGACAAAATTTTCCTTAAACAGTATACATGTGTATTGGACACACCTAAACGTATATCTATAAAATGATTCCTGTTTTATCATCGTACCTATGTACACGCACGCAATGTAAAGGTATTATAGCGCTTCATCTTGATCGTATATCATAAAAACGTTAGGCGAACGATTCTCTATTGCTCTTCCGTGCGTCGAAAGCTGTCACGCACACCGGTGACAGTATAATGATGAGTAGAGCACCACTTGTCCCGGGCCACAGACATCGAGGGCGGTCGAGTCGCAACCATTTTAATGTGTAACTCGGCACTTCAAGTCTCGTCCCCCGAGGCAAGTTATGACACATTAAAAGCATATGCTTCTCCATACAAACAGCCGTCCAAGCTCCGCAAGTTGCTATATACGTAAGCACCTACGTAGAACATTACGCGCGAATGGGCACGTATTAGCAAGTTTATTTAGGTTGCCAGATTTTGAAATACTTAAGCCGGGACGTCAAATGGTTTGGCCTTTTTTTTTTTTATGATGTAACGTTCGTATAAAAATACAAATAAGTATTTAATTTTGTAATTTAAATATTTCATAACTAATACAAAAATACATTATTATTGTATATAACCATATCGATTAGGTAACCACAATATAATGTGCAGTATTATTCTATGTTTCATTATTAAATAATACAATATTAAATGTTATTTTCTCTCAGCTTCTATTAACCGGATCAAACTGAATGATCGGCCGGAACACCGGGACTTTAAACCCGGGAAGAACGGCAAGTCTACTAATGAGTATTGTTGACGAGTCTTTTCGAAATAGTGTGTTCATGTTTATTACCATTCACGCGAGATCTGTCAAATTACTCTTGTTTCAAACCGATACCGTTTTCCATTGCGAACGGAGGAGAAATATAAATGTATCATTATGAATATTTTAACAGACGGATGAAATCTTACCAGTTTTCACTTGATGCTGGAGCGTTAAGTTGCAATCGTCAACCAAATTCTGCAATGGCATGCCTTCGTCAGGGAGATCCAAGTTCAATAGCCGTAACATTTCCTCGGGCTGCTTGAAATGCAACACTTTTTCATCTCTATCGTTTACGTCTTTGATGTAGTCTATAAGAATATCGACAACTTTTAATAGAAACTCTTTGGTCGGGGCTTGTCCGAATAAATTATGAGGCAATAAATCTGGAAAAAAAGAATTAAAAATATTAATGTTTATCTCGCGTATGCTTGAATAAATAAAATATATTGTAGAAAACATCGGCCGTTTTGAATTCGAAAAACCATCAACATTGAAATGTTTAAAATATTTTATAAAATACTTTGTTCGTCGTATTATGTTGCAAGACTATAGAAAGATGTACAAAAATCAAGTACCACTTTAACTTTTGCCGGACTAATAATTGATTAAACGTTAACGTTGTTAATGAATTTCTAAGTATTGTTTTAAAATAATGATCGGTTACAGTATTTTTTTAATTAAATGCTTATAGTCAATATAAAATATACCGAGATGACATTACGCGTCTTCAATGAAGAACTGTTGCAGTAGGTGTAATGTAGACCACAGTTGAAAACGTAATCGTATATATATATATATGGGTACTTAGTAACCTCTTATTGTATACTCCGTAATCCCTTCATCTCCAAACACGGAAAACCATTAGATTTTCGTAAACCATTATTTATCAAGAACAGCAGTAGGACAATAAAATAGATCCTACTCAGGGTGGGTTATTTTCTAGGGTCTAAATCCAATAATCCATGTCATTTTTACTGGCATTGTGTCGAGGGCAAAAATCAACGATGTACGCCGGATATTAAAATATGTGACCAACCGTAAAATAAGAATCTTTCATCCCCCATTTGCTGAGCGAAACGTGTAACGTTTTTCTTCTTCCCTTTTCAAAGGTCTAATTGAATCGAAATCGACCACTGATGTTATTGTTGATGGTCGGATACGACCCAAATACAAGCAAAGCGGAATGCTTTTGATTAGATTTCGGTACATAATCAAGTTGTACGAATATCATGATACACACACATAAACATACACATACCTTCATTCAGATTTGGAAACCTTTTCATTTCAAAAGATGTTTTCCGTGTGCATCTCATAACGGAATAATTTGACTATACAATGAGAATGTCCAGAGTTATTGGTTTTTGGATATTATTTATTTGTACACACAATTGTACACCTATATATTCATATATATTTTTTTAACTTTATTGTACGTGTATCGTTTAAAAAACATATTTTGTTATATTTAAATTCGTTTATATTTTCAGTTTTTTTGCACACATCATTAATTGACGAATCAATCTACATAATATTATGAACGTAAAATTGTCTTTCGATCTGGTGTAACGTGTAATAAACGAGAAAAAAAATTAAAGATTTTTAAATATGTTTTATACGGTCTGTTGTTAAAAGAAAATTTTGAAATCGATAAAATAAAAGGGACAATTCAATTAAAATCTGAATACTGATTTTTATTAAAGTCTCGGTTTAAAAGGGTTAGGCTTAAAAGTGATCAGGGTGATATTGTTCCGGATAACACTTGAAACCACGAACGTGCGTTAATTCAAACCAACACTAGGTAATTCCATGTTAGTCTGTATTGTAACGCAGAAAGTCATAAATATTTATCATCTTCACGTTTTGTGCTAATGTCAGCCCTCAACAACAGTTCTTGAATACAAATTATACTACTTGACACCACTGTACGTAGTATGCCGTTGACAATTTAATTATGCATTTATTTCAAAACTATACCAACCGTATTAAATGCGTTTTAGTCGTCACTATGTATTTGTTTTTTTTTTTTTTATTATTATTTTCAGGCTATATTTTCCAAACACAGTGCTCATACGAGTTATACGAGAGTAGAACATTATCATTTGTTTAATTTAATATAGTTTAATATTATATTCCCTCTGTTTTTCATACAAGTTTCTCACGAGTGAAAATATTTTTAGACTCTACCGACTTCCCGTGATTTCTATTTGCTCGGTGTTCATTAAAATATACCAGGGATGGGCGGCCGGCAGCCCGCGTACTTTTTTTTCTGGTTAGTGCTACATTTTAAAATCACTTTATAACATCTTAGTGTTAATCGGTATTTAATTTTATCACGTTGATCGTAAAATGTAGATATTATATTTTTTTCTAGCATTGAACCAAACTAAATCATAATAATATAATAAAATATATATCTATAACGGTATAGCTAACATAGTAATAGGTTTTATACACTTATTTTATTTTACTGGTTTAGTCGTAAGATTCAATTGTTTAAAGTAAATGCTAATGGTTACTTTTAATGACCTTTATCCATTTTTCACTTTTTTATTATGGCCTGCCAGATTTTGAAGTTCTTAAAATTCACCCTCTTGTTACTTTTAATTGCCCATTCCTGCTATATACAATTAATATATCTAAGACCCTTGAAGTGTTTTAATCGCGAAAAAAAAATTCATATTTCAAACAAATCTGGATATGAGACGAACAACGAACTGTAGTAATTTAGCATTTGTTTGGTTATAAGTTTTTCTTGAATTCTTTCCCCGACTGCACGAAATAAGACCAAAACACGAAATATTAGAATGAGTTCAAATTTAAGGGTAGATTATTTTTGAAAACCTCGCGTTTTTCTTTCTTTCTCGTATATTTTATGTACGTTTATTTTTAATGTTATTGCTACTTCAATAGTTATAATTATCTATTCGGATCTGTTAACCGAAAAGGTTATTAAAGAATACAGAATCAATTAGTTCAAGTAATTTTGTTGTGCCTGCATGTTGTATGGGGCCTAATACTTGACTAACATGTTTGATTAAATTAAAATTGTACGTTTATTGTTATAAACAGTTGTAAGTATAACGAAAAAAAAAAAAAAAATACAAACTACTTAAACTATAATTTAAATTTATAGTAAATTATTTCAGAATTTTGTGCAACATAGACTTCCAATTTATAAAACAAGAAAGCATACACAAAATAATAAAATTGGTAAAAATAGTTGATATTTAGAACTGTAAATTTTATTAATTTTAATACGTTTTGTTCATGTATTTATATGTATATATATATATTTACCCGTACAATATAAAATAATTTAACAATACTAATTTATAATCTATGAGTTATTATGGCCAACCAAAGATATCGCAGTCAATAGTTATATTACCAAGAATAATAGTTATTAAACTTGTTGTTGTTATTTATACGAATAACATTTATAAATATAATTATAATATATATCTAAATCGCATGTGTATCAGAAGAATTAGCTCTGCGTTTATATTCAATACTGAAGTTGGGCGAGTATTTTCTTCATGCAGTCATATGAGATTATTCATTATTTAAGAACAAATCCAGAAGTATTTTGACATAAATGCTTTTCATAAAGCACAAACGGCGAAGTATCAATTCGCCAAAATTTATAGACAATGAAATAATGAATTACAATTAGTTACTATAAGTGATTTTAATTAATGTTTAGCCGTTTGTGGTTACGTTTCACTTGAACATAAAAAATGAAAAGTATGAATTAACGTTCTTGTGATTCAATTAATTTATATTTTTTTAAGTTTTATGCATGTTTGAATAGTTCCATGCGGTACGCGAGCAACTCGATTTCGGATGACTTTATCAATCATTTTTTTTTTTTGTTTTTAAATCCTGTCAGGTATCGGAAACGTTTATTGAATATTTCTTTATAATATTATTGGTAAAATCGAAACAAATAAATGCATGGATAAGCATTACTTAACTTATTATTAATCAAATTTTGGGTTAACTTATGGAAAACCGAGTAGTTACAAAACAGCAATGCGTTTAAGTTTATCAGTCTAAATGTTACGTTTTTTCATTGGTCATGATTCATGTTCCGATCTCAATATTTGTGGATGGAAAAAAGATTCGTTTCTCGTAGCTGTCATATGCATACACAATTGGAGCGGTAAACCGTGAAACGTAAATGTATTTCAAACGGGTTTCCAAGCGTTCGTGCGTAGTACAACAGCCGCGGGTATATGTTGAAGAAATATAAATTATGAGAACGAGGGAATGGAGTAGATCACGTGCCGCAAAAAGTTGTTGCCGAGTTGTAAAAACAAAAACCCGAAAAAAATAAAAAAATAACCGTAGAACTGTGGTGTGCGTGTTACCTGCAGCTGCGCATTTATCATGGGGTACGAAAGGTATCAAGAGTATGTATTGTCTTTGATTGAAAATTTTCGCCGTCATTTGATGGCGTTTGTGGATTTTTCACTGTATATTCTAACTCAGGATGTAAGAAAATCTGACGTCGGGGTGTGATAAGTTGTCTTATGTTTTCAAATGTCAGTCCGTGTTTTGACTTGTTTTAAAATATGATTTCAAAACGAATTCGATTTCATGTTCGTTGTTAACCATATTATTCAGTTATCAACCGGAATAGATTGAAAAAGAGTGAATTCAGAGTTTGTTTTATAAGTAGGGACCGGATTTATATGCAAATGCATATATCTATTGGAATAAGCTTTTTGAAATCTGATGAGCATTGTCCCCGATTTAGATCTTTCTTATTAAAATAACACTAATTTTACCTTGTATATTTTGCATATTTCAACGTTTTTACCTATTAAATGCATATTCGATGTATATTTGTAGTTTTATAGTGCATATTATTATTTATAGCACAAATATTCGTTTTCGTCGTATTTTCACGTTCACAGCCTCATAATATCGATAAAATTGCGATCGGTCGTTATTTCCAAAGTTCAGATTACAAACTCAAATCTCATATTAGTCATATACAACATATATGTATATATATAAATATTATATAATTCAAGTGTCGACTTGACGACAAAAGATTTTTTAAAAGCTTTTTTATACTTTTTTTAATACCGTATTAATTAATAATTATTTTTACATTTATATTACATTTCAAATATTTGTACATAATTTTAAACAAAATTTCAAGTGAATATTTAAGTACATATTTAAATATAAATACATATTTTATAACGTATTACAGCAATTTTAGAAGCATATTTTGAGGATTTAATGTGCATATAAATCCGGTCCATAATTATAAATAATATCATGTCGTTTTATAGGAAAATCGTACAGCGGAATAAGATTCCCAATATGATAAAAACTTAATATCGCAGCATATTAAAAAAGCTGACTA